TTGCTGCAAAGGACATGATTTCATTCTTTTTTTATGGCTGTATAGTATTTCATTGTGTATACGTATCACATTTTAAAAAATCCAGTCCACCATTGATGGGCACCTACACTGATTCCATGTCTTTGCTATTGTGAATAGCACTGTGATGAACACACAAATGCATGTGTTTTTTTATAGAACAATTTATTTTCCTCTGGGTATATACTTAGTAAGGGGATTGCTGGGTCAAATGGTAGACTGTTTTAAGTTCTTAGAGAAATCTCCAAGCTGCTTTCTCCAGTGACTGAACTAATTTATATTTCCACCAATAGTGTATACACATTCCTTTTGCTCTGCAGCCTCACCAACATCTGTTATATGTTGATTTTTTAATAATAGTTATTCTGACTGGAGTGAGATGGTATCCCATTGTGGTCTTGATTTGCGTTTCTCTGATAGTGATGATGAGCTTTTTTTTCATCTGTTTCTTGACTGCTTGTATGTATTCTTTTGAGAAGTGTCAGAAACAACTTGTGTTAAAGAAAAATTTATCTTTTGGATTGCTTTATCAGAGAATCTCAGCATTAAGTGAGTAAAAACTCTGGGCACTAAAGAGTTCTTCCTTTAGATATATAAATATAATAACCTCAGCTGGGTGTGGTGGCTCATGCCGGTAATCCCAGCACTTTAGGAGGCTGAGGCAGGTGGATCATGAGGTCAGGAGATCAAGCCCATCCTGGCTAACACGGTGAAACCCTGTCTTTACTAAAAATACACACACACACACACACACACACACACTCACAAAGCCGGGCGTGGTGGTGCACGCCTGTAGTCCCAGATAATTGGGAGGCTGAGGCAAGAGAATCACTTGAACCTGGGAGGTGGAAAGGTTGCAGTGAGCTGAGATATCGTGCTACTGCCCTCTACACTCCAGCCTGGGTGATGGAGTGAGACTCTGTCTCAAAAATATATATACATGCAAAATATGTATATATATAATATAAATATAAAATAAAATATATACTAGATCATAAAAAATATAGAATAAATATGTATTTATATAATTATATATTGATATATAAATATATTACATCTGTTTATATAATATATAATAATAAATATATAATACCCTCACTGGGTTCAATATTGTAAAAATTATTAAATCTCAGGCAGCCAAGTGCCTCAGGAAATAATCCTACTGCCAAATCCAGAAACAAGCCTCCACTGAATTTAATATAATCCACCAGTGACAGATTTAGCATCAACCATGGGACCTAGTACTGGACAGTATACTTGGAGGACTTTGGAGAAAAGAGTTTATATTCTTAAAAAATTGTCCCTGGGAAAGACTGTTTTCTTCCTGGATGTTATGGCAACTGTTCATGGTGCCAGGAGCTGTTGCAGTCATTTTGCTATTAGCCTGAGGAGGAGAGACTAACTCCATAGATGGCAGAACAGGGAAATGGGTCGACCTGAAGGGTGATAGTTGAGAACATAGTTGAACTGCTGGATCAGCCATGTGGACTGCATTGCCTTTGGACTTACTCCATGTTCCATAATGCATTTTCTTATTGTTTAAGACGGTTTTATTTGGAATTTCTGTTATCAAAAAACATCCCAACTTCTAGAGGGGTACTTGGGACTCAGCCTCTTTTTCTTTTTTTCATGAAGGAGCAACTGCCTTTATTAAATGAAATCAGAAGGGCAATAGCACAGGAAGTTGGGTAGATGTGGGGACAACAGAGAGACAGGGGCAGAGCAGGACTGTAGATCTGTGGAAACTCTCTGGAAGAGTCAGCTCTAAGGTGTGGGAGTCCCAAGGGTAAAAGAGAAAAGGGAAAGACTACCCTTTGCTCATATGAGGCTGAAATAATGAGATCTTAAACACGAGTGAGAACCTCATTGCCCCAACCCAAGGTGACTTTAAATCCAAGGTATAAAAGATTAGCATGGATATTCGTTTGAATAAGGAAAATGAGAATTATTTCTTTGAGACCAAAAAAAAAAAGAAAGAAAGAACTGATTTTTGATTAAGAATTAAGGCTGTACAATGATTCAGAGTGTATGGATGAGAGACAGAATAAATTCCCCAGTGACCCATGTATAAAACAGGCTATAAACAAGAGAATGAGAGTGGAAGTCAATGAAAGGCCACCTTGCTCATGCCTCCATGCTACGTGGGCGTTAACAAGCACTGCAGCCTTCTATTCCTTTCCATGTTGAAAAGTGTGCAGTGTCACAGCAGCCGAGCTGTCTGGGCTTTGGCAGGTCAGAAACACCCATTGCTAATGTAGTGGAGGGTAGGGGTGGGGATGCTGGCCTTGGCTTTGTGGAAGTGCAGAAGGAAGGCAGAAGGAAAACATGCTGGGGCAGTGCTTGTAATATGATGTGACCATGTAATATGATATGATAGAGTCATGCAGTAGCAGACACTAGAGTTGCTTTATCAGGCCAAGGTGCAGGCCAGAGGTTCAGCCTCTTACCACAGTCTGACAGCATCCCTGACAAGACAGACGTCTTTCCCGATTCCAGCAGCAATTGTGTGTGGCCAACTGTTCTAACAGTTTTTATAAAATACAACAGGAATAGAGCAATAGTGAAGACTTACTTGTTTGGGTTTTTTCCCCCTTTTATTCAGTTATTTTTTTTCTTAAAATTGTGTTAAAATATGAATAATTTGGCACTGTAATCATTTTAAGTGTACAGTTTTATGACACTAAGTACATTCACATTATTGTGCAACCATCACAGCCATTCACCTCTAGAACTTTTTTTCATGTTACAAAACCAAAACTCTGTACCCATTAAACACTAACTCCCCATTCTCTTCCCACTCCATCCTTTGGCAACCACCATGCTACTTTCTCTACATATGAATCTGTCTATGTTAGGTACCTTATAAAGGGGGAATCATACAATATTTGTTCTTTTGTGACTGGCTTATTCCACTTAGCATAGTGTCCTCAAGGTTCATTCATGCTGTAGCATGGGTCAGAATTTCCTTTCTTTGTAGGGCTGAGTAATGTTGATTTGCATGTATATGCCACGTTTTGTTTATCCATTTATCTTTTATGAACATTTGAGTTGCTACCACATTTTGGCTATTATGAATAATGCTGCAATGAACATGGGTATAAATAGTGAGCTTTAATATGGCAATTAAGTTTTAATCTTTAATATGTATTTGATAGCCCAAATCAGGGATTGACAAACTGTGATCCTCAGGTCAAATTGAGCCTGACATCTGTTTTAATAAATAAAGTTTTAGGTACCAGAACAAAATTGGATTTGGTTTGGAAAGGAAGGAATGCTATTTGTGGAGAGTAGAGTTTGCATACAAGATAGACTGAAAGTAAAAAATAATAATACGTAGCTACTGCTGAGGAAAGAAATAATCACTTTTAGGGATGTGTTCTATGTCAAACATTATAATGAAATAATCTTTGCATTATTTCATTTAATCGTGAGGAAGACCGTAAAGAGATTCCCCATCTCATTCCAGTTTTGCTAATAGATTAAGAAAACTGGGCTTGGAAGGTTTAAGACTTCATGCCTCTTTGGCCATAAAATCTTTGCTCTTTCTGCAGTATGACACTGTCTTTGAAAACATGCAGAAAACTTCACAGTCTAAAAGCATTTAATCCATCTCACAACCATAATTGTCAGGTGATAGTGGTTTTGTTTTTTCTGCTTTTAAGGGAGGAGATTGAGAGGTTTAGGGAGTTTATGCAGATGTCTGAATGCATGCAATGGGTAAGTGGCAGAGCCAGGGTTCAAACCCAGTTTCTCTTACTCTGCGGCAGCTTTTCTCAACCCCTGCAACTATTGATGTTTTGACGTGGATAATACTTTGTTGTGAGGGGCTGTCTTGAGCCTTGTAGAATGTTTAGCAGCATCTCTGGCTTCTACCAACTAGATGTCAGTAGCACCTCTTCCCCCTTGTAACAACCAAAACTGTTTTTAGATTTTGCCAAATTACCTTTAGGTGTGGGAATCACTTGAAGTTGAGAACCACTGGTTTATATCCATGCCGTTCCACCATACCTCTCTGATTTTCTACTTTGAAGCAATTCACAATCTAGTAGATGGCAACAGATACACGGTTAAGTCTAAAACAGGAGAGTATTATACTGAGAGATATGTGGAACCCAGAAGAAGAGTAGAACCTAGTAGTGTTAAGAGTATAGACTTTCCAGCTAGACTGCCTAGTTACAAGATTCGGATCCCACATTTACTAGTTGTTATCCATGGACTAGTTACCAGTGTTCTGTACTTCCGTTTCCTCATCCACGAAATGGGAATAATACTAATACTTGCTTGACACAAAGTAAACAGCATGACTATGGCAAGCCGAGGCCCCCTGCTGTGCAGGGTAGAAAGTGGGGATAAAGAGGTTTCTATTTTGAGCCCACTGCCTGGTTTTCATTAGCTCTGCCTATAGATTTCCATAATGCCAACCCTGAGGGCTGGAGCCTATGTTTCTGGCCTCATTAAGGAAGGAATGGCTGTTTTAAATGGTTATTTTCTGGATAGGAATTAAACAATTAACATCTTACCTGATTATACAAGTGTAGCATAGGTTTATATCTCTAGTCTATCCTGAGAGAGTTGAAGAGACACAGACACCAGTATAGGAGTTCTTGGCCATTTTCTAGTTTAGCTACTTCCTCTACAGATAGGAGATGGTTAAGATCAGGGTAAAATGATAATCTGCCCAGAATTAAAACTAGTTTCTAGAAAGCCAGAACTGACCTGGACCTCTGATTTTTAGTTCAGTATATTTCTTTCACTGATTATCTATGCTTTCTCACAAAGATGTAATTTGCAGATGCATAAGATACACTGGAGGTTGATGATGATTGGGTATTCTGTAGCTAGTAGATCTATTCTGTAAATTATAAAAAACAAAAATAAGTACTAAATTTTTAAGTGTGAAAATTTATTTCTTAATCATATTTATGTGTTCAGTAATAACACTAGTATTTTTTCCCCTAAAATTTATTTTGTTGTTTTTCCAGAAGAGTTGCCTATGTTAAAGGCTTCTGCTCTATCTAAGGGAATAAGGAGAAGGCATTTCCTGAGATACTAAACAGGATTTTCCCTAGTTACTCTGTGGTGATAACTAGAGTAACAGTGTCCACTGCTGGCAAATCAGATAATTGCACTGAACTTTACAGTTACTGTATGTAAAGAATAACATTTTACTTTCACCAGCATGCATTTTCAGGTAAGGGTTTTAAAATTTCTCCTCGCAATCTGAAAAGATGCCATTATTGTTTAAAAGAAAAATATTAGTTTTATATTAGTCCAATAATTAATGATTGATAAGCAATTAATTTGCCTCTCTAAACCTAAGATTACAACATAGTAACAGTTCCTATTTTAAGATGGTTGAGGCTTAAATATTGAGAGTAAAAAATATAATTTTACAAAATAAGGTTTGTACTTAATGCTTCCAAATAAGCAAAATCAATGATTACCATGATGCAACTACATTTTTTTAAAATCATTTAAAACAATTACTCACCAAAAATTTACCTGGTTTATTCCTTTCAGGACATTCATCATAATCTTGGAAGAAGAAAGTAGAGGACTATTGTAATGGGAATTCTTCCTTATTTTATTTGAAATACTTAAGGACATTTCAATTTGTTAAACCTTTGAAGCACATTTTGTAATCTAAGAATTTAATTTATTTAACTAGACAGCTGGACAAACGCCTAAGTAGAAATGGCCACTTTTGCAAGATTTCTGTGAGCTTTAGAGAAGCTTCCTGGGTTCAATGCCAAAAACAGGCGGCAGAAGACCCAGCAAATGTAACTCTCGGGAGACTTGCTGTAACTTAGGACAGTTTGTTACTCCTCCTTTAAAATTTCTCCTCGAAATTTGTACTTGTGAATGGTGAAAACTGTATTTTTTTTCTTTGCCATAGGAAGAAAAAGTAACTCAAACACACAGATAAAATTTCTCCTCGAAATTTGTACTTGTGAATGGTGAAAGCTGTATTTTTTTTTCTTTGCCATAGGAAGAAAAAGTAACTAAAACACACAGATAAAATGGTCGTGTTGTGTTATTATAACTTATGGAAATCCACAAATAGCAATTTATTCTAGTTACAGAAATACAGCTTGGCCAAATTAGAGCTAGTGTGGAATCTTGCTGTTTACTAACTTTGAGGTTGGGTAGTTACAGCTGTAGCTGGGAGCATACACTACACAGGAAGACTGTACATACTGATGACAATTGTTACATTATATGCAAAGGTGGTGACTCCATCTCTGCTCAGAATTCCTTGCTTCGTGATGAATTCCATTTTTTGAGATTTGGAGCTGTAGGATCCTATACATCAGAACTGAGTAGGCTGAAAACATAAATCTCTCCACCGTGCTGCTCCTTTCGGCTCACGTGTTTATCCTTCTGTGGACTCTTCAGGATTTCCCTTGACCTTGACCTGCAAGATCAAGTCTTGTTTCCTCTCTAAGTCTTAGAGGTGTTTCCAGAAGACTCTATCTGTTCTTAGCATACTTTGTTTCCATTTTTCTGTCTTCTAGATCCTCCCACCTGCAAATTTTATTTGCAGGATTTCTTACTCATTTTTTTCATTTGTTCTTTCAACAAATTTTTATTGAATTTTACTGTGCCA